TCCCCCCCCTCTCCCCTCTCCTCGCCCCATCCCTCTGTCCCCTCCCCATCCTACCATCCCTCCATCCCCTCTCCTCATCACCCTGCACCCCCTCCCAATCCTTCCACCCTCTCTCCCCTCCCCATCCCTCCATCCCCTCTCCCCGGTCCCCTTTTCCCATCCCTCCATCCCCTCTCCCCATCATCCCGTTGCCCCTCCTCATCCTTCCACCCCTCTCCCCATCCCCTCTCCCCATCCCTCCATCCCCTCTCCCTCCATCCCTCCATCCCCCCATCCCCTCTCCCCTCCCAGTCCCTCCATCCCTCCGTCCCCTCTTCCCATCCCTCCATCTCCCCATCTCTCCACCCCTCCATCCCTCCATCCCCTGTCCCCATCTCCCCATCTCTCCATCCCTCCATCCCCTGTCCCCATCTCCCCATCTCTCCATCCCTCCATCCCTCCGCCCCATCTCCCCATCTCTCCATCCCTCCATCCCTCTGACCCCTCTCCCCATCCCTCCATCCCTCCCCGTCCCTCTCCCGCACCAGGGATGGAGGTGCCGAGGGCCACGAAGACGACGGCGTTGACGGAGTCCTTGAGGCCGACGGTGCAGCCGAAGTGGGCGGCCAGGTCGCCGATGAGGGCGGTGAGGACGCCGATGAGGAGGATGGAGACAACGAAGCAAGCCCAGCCGTTGCAGTACTCGGTGGGGGGCACGCAGGCGAAGAGGACCTTCCAGAAGACCGTCAGGAAGTGCATCACGTAGTCGAAGCAGGAGGGCAGCCGCTCCTCCCGCCCGTCCTCTTCCTCCTCCTCCTCGCCTGCTGAGGAAGGTCAGCGTCAGCCCGGCAGGGACGTGGCCATGGAGCTGCCTGGCCCCATGGTGGTGGCCCCAGGGTGCATGGTCCAAGGGTGGTGGCCCCAGGGTGCATGGTCCAAGCGTGGTGGCCTCAAGGTGATTGTCCCCAGGGTGGTGGCCTCAGGGTGCGTGGTCCAAGGGTAGTGGCCCCAGGGTGCATGGTTAAAGGGTGGTGGCCCCAGCATGGTGGCCCCAAGGTGCATGGTCCAAGGGTGGTGGACTCAAGGTGATTGTCCCCAGGCTGGTGGCCCCAGGGTGTGTGGTCCTGTCATGGTGTCCCCAGGGTGGTGGCCTCAAGGTGATTGTCCCCAGAATGATTGGCCCCAGGGTGGTGGCCCCAAGGTGCGTGGTCCAAGGGTGGTGGCCACAGGGTGCGTGGTCCAAGGGTGGTGGCCTCAAGGTGACTGGCCCCAGGGTGCATGGTCCAGGGGTGGTGGCCCCAGGATGGTGGCCCCAGCATGCATAGTCCAAGGGTGCTTGTCCCCAGAGTGGTGGCCCCAGGGAGCTTGGTCCAATGGTGGTGTCCCCAAGATGATTGTACCCAGGGTGGTGTTCCCAGGGTGGTGTCCCAAAGGTGCTTGTCCCCACAGCGGTGGCCCCAGGTCCCTGGTCCCATGGTACTTGTCCCCAGGGTGCCTGGTCCAAGGGTGATGGCCTCAGGGTGTGTGGTCATAGGCTTGAGTGTCCCCAGGACCACTTCCCCATGGCTGAGCATCCCCATGGCCATCTGTCCCCAAGGCAGCGGGTCCCCAGGACCAGGTCCCCAGGACCACGTCCCCACGCTGAGCATCCCCATGGCCATCTGTCCCCAGGGCAGCAGGTCCCCAGGACCACGTCCCCACGGCTGAGCATCCCTGTGGCCATCTGTCCCCAGGGGATGGGGAACAGGGGTCCCACCTGCACTGACGGTGATGGCTTCCAGGAACTGCTCCCGCCAGGAGTGTGTCCCAATCACCATGGCCAGGTTGGTCTTCTTGATCAGCTTGTCCACCGTGTTCTGCGGGGATGGGGGGGGTGAGGACGCACCGGGTCCTGTCCCCGTGTCCCCCCGCCCGCTGTGTCCCCCAGCCCCCTGTGTCCCCGCCAGCCACCTTGAAGTCATAGGACTCCTCGATGATGATCTCCAGTTTGCAGTTCTCGCCCAGTATGGGTTTGCCCATCTCGGCGATGCGCCGAGCCTCCTCCTCCTCCGCAGAGAGCTTCCGGTCACCGTCTGCTGCAGGGACACCGCGTGGGGACATGGCGTGGGGACACTGCGTGGGTATGGGGACATGGCACGGTGACACGGGGCATGGGGACATAGCATGGTCATGGGGACGCAGCACAGTCATGGGGAGACATGGCATGGGGACACAACATGGGGCATGGAGACATCGCATGGGGCGTGAAGACATGGAATGGGGACACAGCACTGGGACATGGAACGGGGACACAACGTGGGGCATGGAGACACGGCATGGGCACAGAGATGTGGCTTGGGGACATGGCGTGGGTCATGGGGACATGACATGGGGACACGGCGTGAGGTGTAGGGACATGGCATGGGGACACACCACGGGGACACAACATGGGGCATGGAGACACGGCATGGGCATGGAGACATGGGCATGGAGACATGGAATGGGGACATGGCTTGGGCATGGGGACATGGCATGGGGACTTAACGCGGGTCATGGGGATATGACATGGGGACACACCATGGGCCATGGAGTCATGGTATGAGCATGGAGACGTGGCATGGGAACATGGCTTGGTCATGGGGACATGGCTTGGGCGTGGGGACACGGCGTGGGGACACACCATGGAGACACAACACAGGGACACGGCGTGGGCACATGGCATGGTCACGGGCACGCAGCACGGGGACGTGGCGCAGGACACGGGGACGGCAGGATCCGAGGACGAGGAGAAGGGCGAGGAAGGCTCCTACCTTGGGTGAGCAGCAGGGCTGCAGAGAGAGGGAGAAGAAGGTGGTGAGATGGCACCGGGGCTTTGCCCACCGAGACCCCCGGCCCAGCCCTGCCCGGCCCCGCCCATACCCGAGATGCCCCGTTTGAGCCAGCGCGGCTGCCCCAGCTCGATGAAGAAGTTGTCCTTCTTCTCATACTCCTCGTCGTCCACGATCTTCACCTGCAGCGTCTTCCTGAGGATGGGGG